ACGCGCGGGTGAGAGAAAGGGTGATAGTCAGAGTAAGTGTAGCTTCATGAGTTGAAGAGGCAAATAAAAACAGTTAAAAACAATTCTAACTTGTTGCTTCCGTTTCGTTCAGAAGCATGCAAGTAAGCTAGTTCATTTGTAATGCTGTATGTGTAACAGTGAAATACTTGATTGGTAATGAAATGATGTCTTTCATCTTTTGTATTTCATTAAACAGCATCGTCTTAAAATTTTTGTATAAATAAATAAATATATATATATATATAATCATAGCGTTAATTACGATCATAGAGCATACATAATAATACCATAAAAATAGAAAGCTTGTCAGAAAAACAATGTGATGTCTTTTTGTAAGAATATCAATATACTAAAAAGTCATGAACTATAATGGTTTGTCAGTTAATTAAAAAGAGTTCCTCAAATTCAATAACCTGTAAATAGTTATGGATGCAATTGAGTGGTTTACTAAAATATAATTTAACAATATGTTAACATGAAATATGACTGATATGTGCTTTGGAAGATTTAAATAACTTCAAAAACCAAGACGTTTTTGAAGAGTACACCGAACGGAATATCAAGTCCCCAAAGTGATGAAGTAATCAATACTAAGTCACTGGCAGATCTGAATAACGGAACTCGGTTGAGAACTATATCAGTGGTTCAGTCAGTTTGTAGTAAAAGTTATATCTGTATTTTTATACTGCTTTATTTGACAACTAATTTATATATACAGCGAATGGTAAAATTGACGTTTGATTTTATCTTCTCATGTATACAATCAGCTGGAACTAATCATTTGACAATGGAGTAAGTTCCGATTTGAATGGTAATGTAAGCCAAGCATCGAAAATGTAATGCTTCTAGTGTTCCTATACAGACTTATTTTAAGGATCTAGATTAGTAAACTTTAAACAAATTTTATGTACTCTTAAGGCTCAAAAATGAGAATTTTGTGTTCATATTTTTTTACAAGAAAGGATTATTTTATTTATATGAATAAAATATAAAACGTCTTTAAAGGTTAACTCTTTTACTAATCAATAATTTGTTCGTTGAACGAAAATGCAATCTATGACGGTGATACTCGATTGTGATGACAAATATTTTGGACTGAGAGTAAAACTATAAGTGAATAGCATATTAAATTAGAAAATAAGTTAAGTTGTTACTTTTCACTGATTGGTTGATAGAAATAACATTCTTATTTTGTTTAGGCTTACTTTATCGTCACAAGATGCATTCAAAATAGTTTAGTTTTTTCATGAAATATTATAATTTATTTCAGTGGTAATCAGCCATGAAACAAAACTTGTCTAAATATTTTGCTTCAGTGGTGAACGTCTAAATTGATAATTTTCATAACTGTCAATTGGCAGAATTTATAATTTCAAACGAAGAAGAAAAGTTACATAATTTTAAAATGGGACGTACTGTATGTAAATCATCTTATTTCATTGTTTGAAGAATATTCGGAAAATAAACAAATGCACATCTGTATATTCTATCAACGCGTTACTTAGGATCTATGTTTCATAAAGAGATGGTGTCTCAAAAATTTCATTGTAGATCAGCTTATGACATAAAATATTTCTTTACGAGATTCTACACGAACAATCAGTCACTCTAGAAATTCTATTCTAAGAAACCGTAACTTTTTATATTTGTGCTGTAAAATTCTGTTTAAAATAGTTGATAAATTTTGCAGCCAGGAAGCTTATATATTGAACGTGTTACTTTGACAAGCAGTAGCCTAAACTGGTAGCGCTTATCATGAGATCTGATTTTTAAAGTTATGATTAGTGTATGAAAGTGGTCCGAGGCGGATATGCTAATGACGTTTAAATCATATGTGTATCTGCAAACAGTTTTATGTTATTGTCTGAATAGAAATATATTATTTTCAGAATTATTTTCAGATTAGGCCGAACCATTCAATCGCATTTTTTTTAAACTGGTAAACATTTTTTTCAGTTAGATTATGGAGATGATGTGTGTTGAAACACATTGATTTTTAATTGGTCACATATTGGCCAGATATCTATAAAATGGATCTCAGTGAATCAACCACTTCCGTTAAGCTCACATAAATGATTTTTATTCGGTTAATTTGTTTCTATCACATGCAGAATACAAAAACAGCTCTTTTGGCTGTAAATGTTCATTTCAGTCAAGTAGCAGCATTGTTTAGTAGAAAACAAATATAATTTATTTCATAATAATAAATACAGTTACGTTATTCAGTCAGCTGACTAAATTTTGGCATGCATATATATATAATTTTGTTTTTGTAAAAAGCGAAAAAACAATGTTATGGAATATTGACAAATGATGCTTGTCTATATAAAATATTTAATAGCAATTAAATAACAAGTTAAATGTTTAATATAGTTTGTTCATTTTTTTGTCTACAAATGAAAGTTAAAAATATAACAGCTTCTTTTTAGCATAATCGTGTATTTATTTTGGAAACATTTATTGTTAAAAACATATGTTTTTATGTTAAATTCTCCTCATTCAATGTTTAAGAATAAGTGAAAACCACTTATGGAAATTGTTCAGTTGAATTCGTAAATACAAGGAGATTAAAGATATCACTAATGATTACAGTTGTTGATTCCCTTCGTGCTATACTTAAAACAATTGTTTTACATTTGAAATCAACATATGTTATATCCAATGTATTATACAGCCATTTTGTTATATAACAATGAAAGTTATGAAATTCAAAATTGCATCTTAATCATTATGCATATATTTGGATCCATTTTTAAGTAGACTGTGATACTGGCAATAAAACTTATTATAAACATTAAGAAATACTGAATGATTGTTTCACTTGACTACAAATTTCATTAAGATCCTATGCGAGTTTATGTTTGATTAGGGATATTTCTGGATATTTTAATTTTTTTTTCTTGATTGTTGACGTGCAAGTGGAAAGAAGTGAGAAGATCAATAACGGCTTATATGATTAATTATTTAATTAGTTGATCATAGAGATTAGTTTAGTTTTAAAATTGTCAACGAACATTATATGAATATTCAAATGTGAAGAAACAAAACATCATTATCCTACAGTATTTGTTCATTGTTATATATATGCATCATTGTTTCACATCATTAGTATACCTTCAGTAAGTTAAGTAGTGATTTTGTCTTTTGTGATGCGTCAAGTTTGTGCTTGATCAACAGATAGTTATAATAGTTTCTGACTGACATTGAAATATGTAACAGTATGTGATAAATCAACAGCCAGATTAAAACTGACAAAAATTGATTAGACTATTAGTGTAAATGGACAATGCAAGATGATTTTTAACCATGTCACCAGTGTGTTGAGTGCTTGAATAAATCGCATTGCAACTTCAGTTGAAATTTCAAACCATATTGTCTTGTTTTCTTATTGAGACAAATCACTATAACTTAAAAGTGAACAATCTGCAATTATATAATGAGATTGTTCTATTTTGTGAAATATTTTTTCTTTCTTTTGTTCACGCATGAATCAGAGCAAGAGTCAGTTGGAAGAAATTTAGAATTAGGCGAATGAAGATCTGATATCATTTCTGAAAGTCATTAATTAGAGGTTGTAGAGCGGATATTTTCCATAGAATACTTAATTATTATCATGACTAATAAGTGAAGAAATGTATGGTTTTTATGAAATTCAGTTGCATTGATTACAATTCAAAGATTATCAATGTTCTGTTAGGTTTTGAATTCTAATATTATTTACCCTTAGAACTCATACCCTCTTTTCGAAACATTTTAACAGTGTTTAGTCTTAAAATTCTTGATATATATTTATTTCTCAGGGTATTCTGATGATTCTGTTTTACTGTAATATTATAATGTAACAATTCATTTCGTTAGAGACTGAATAAATGCTGTAAAATTACGTGTGTGTAAGTATGTCGTCCATCTAATATAATAAATCACTCATTTATATACTCTTATTTATTGTTAAAGATTTCTTGATATTACTTTACTATACTTCATATCTTGATGAATAAATTTAGCAATTTATATGTTCATCTGTTTATCAATACCACTTATGTTAATGCCACTAATATAGCTGTTATAAATTATAACAATGTCATCAATATTAACCTTCTTATAAGTGACCATGAAATTTAATCTAAAAGTATTTTCATAAATATCAGTCTATCTAATGTGCATACAGTGAGTGTGAATATAAAAAAAACTGTAATGGATTAGTGTAAGACATCATGTTTATGACGATTACTTCTTCACATAATCTTCACATAATCACCAAACAAACAACAGACAATAATATCACTTTTTCCTCTACGGGGTTGTGAAGATTATTAAGTTACACATTTGAAATCATTAATCAATCACTGTTAGACCATCATTAGAAACTTGGAAGCGCTGGATGGCCGTTTCGTCCTGATATGGCACTCATCAGCAGTGCTCATTCATGACTCCTGAACCTCGTAGGATTCGAACCCAGGATCTCCGATCTTACGCGTGAACGCCTAGACTCTGAACCACTGAGCCGGTATATAACAGTGCTAATGTCCCTTTTTGTTAACTAAGTTAGTGGTGAAATGAATTTTATAAGGATTCTAAAATTTATCTCATAATTCAACAAATTATATGGATATATTTATTTGTTAAACTGTTCAATGTCTGAGGGTTTTTATTTGGTTTTAATTTTCAGATTTTCGTTTTGTTTCAAACAAAGTATTTCCCTTTCATTAATTTATCGAAAAATAAATTTTTCAATGTTGTGTTGGCGCAGTATAATTATATCGGAGTTAATTGTGCTCACTTCATATTATAAACTATCCTTCGTCTATGTATTTTGCATTGGTATACAAACATGTTAGTGAAATTTTTGGACATGGCGCACAAATTATTAGGAATTATTTAGCATTTCAAATGAATAATGACAGTTTTAACTAGTTTCACTTGATATTTCATGAACCATAAAAAACATTCTGTTTGTTTTTTATCTTTTATTTAAACAGTACAAAGACGTTAATTACCCAGGCCATTCTGAATAATGACTTTATGAAACATTTAGATAAAAGACAAATATCCAAAATTGTGGATTCTATGTGTCCTTTGCGCTGTGCAAGATTGTCATGGATTATACAAGAAGGTGAAGTCGGTTCGGTTGTTTATGTTTTAGAAGGTAAGATGAATAGTTATATATGTTAAATTTAATCGACTGATTACTGCGTAATAGTGATCAATGTTGTGTTTATCCAGTCATTTGTTGTTGATCTAATATTACTGACCAAGTTGTAATATGGTCGTTAGTTTAAGTGAAGTGACGTTACTTCTACCATAAGCAATCTGTTCATGTTTTCCTGTTAATTACTTACAAACACTTAACATGGTGGCTTAATGATTGTTTTGTACTTGATGGATGAGTTGGTCTGTGTTTAAATTTACCTACAATGACCAACTTTCATTGAGACTTTTCAAAATCAAGTTTTATGTATGAAAGTTTTTGATTCCGTATAAAGATTTTATAAATATAGAAAATAAAGAAAACATACTATTTCGAGATACGTTAGATATGAAATAAATCTTATCTTGAAATCGGATGACATTATTCATAATTCATTTGACTAAATTATATCACAAGAATCGCACTATTTTAGATGTTATTTATTTGAAAATATTGAATATAAACTTGTCTGAACAACTAGTTTTTTTGTAACTTGTCTTTTCGGCAAAGATTTATTAAAATTCTGTTTCACGTGACTTTTTAACTAGAAGATAGTGGAAATTTTCGCTGAGCAATAATCCATTGATTGAGTGCTAATATGGAATCAAGAATATTATTTAACCAATAAATTATTCTATTTATTTTCTTTTTGACAATCAGCTATGCATTCTCATCATTATAATAGTCAGTTATGAAATAATTCAGCATGTTATTCATTTATATGCCCAGAACATTTGTTATTGAATCAGTCAATGGCCAGGCAGCTAGATTATAGTTATATTTTAACTTCACAAATGAATACAATAAAGTAAATTTGTACAGAAATAAGTGTTTGACGAGAATGATTTTAAATTGTGTTACTGTATGACATCACTTTTTACTTTTATAATATTTATTCTCTCACTAAAGTTAAGTAAAACAATATTTTGATAGTGAAATCAACAATATGTTCCTTTTATGAAGTCAATTAAAATTCTTTAGATGACATAAAATATACATTTATTGTCATTGTAAAAAAATAAAGGAGGACCACTTTTTGATTCTTTCATAAAACTACATTTTGTGAAGAGTTTAAAATATACTCTTGCTGATTTACACTTATATGCATAAACAAAAGGTTTATAACAAACCTAGTTGGGAAAATACTAAAGAACTTATTGTTATCTGTTCATATTTTGATCAGTTTATATGCAAGAAGAAACAAAATGTATAACTTGGTAAATTAACTATTACCGTAAGTTAAAGTATTCAATTAAATGCTTTTTGTAATTACATACAAAAATTGAACTACTGAACAATACTTTTTACTACCGCTGTTGAGTTTATCCTAATCTATCTACTAAATGGATAGTTAAAATAATATAGAGTTCATTGTATATTTAAAAATCATCTTGTATATCAGTCTGTGAAATCAGTCTGTTCAAGAAATAAGTCATCATTGACAGTCTGCTTTTATTATACTTCGCATCAAACCATATCAATCTTGTCCCATTGAACAAGCATCAAATGGTAATTTAATTTGTAGTTGTAACAAACATCTGAATCAGCAAGCTACATGATCAAAATTTTGGCAGCATATCATGGTTTGCTATTATTATATGTTCACGATAGATGCGACTGACAGTTTCGCTAAACATTTCATATTTGAAATGTTATCGGTTTTACTAGTACAACAGTTTACATAAGTATTTGAATGAAATAATTTAGGATCGCCCAAAAATATCTGAATCTTTTGATCTGCAAACTTTTTCGATTTTTTTAATCTTTGCTCTTCCCGGAAGCATTAATTTTCTCTGGAGTATTTTTCAACAAAGAATACAGTCAGAGTTATTGGCTAACATTTATTCAACAAAACTATATATTTCAATGTCAACCTAGATATAGACTTCTAGATTTTTCTAATCTGTTGTTTAATTTTCTTTCATTAGAGTGATCACAACACGTACTCGATTTTCCATAAATTAGATCTGAAACACAAATGATGCAGTGGGGAGGACAGATTGTTGTTTTGGTGATTTGGTGAAATAAAACACTTTCTTGCTTTAAGTTTTGAGTAATTTCTAACTGTATTCTCTTGGTATATCCAGTGTAGAGCATTTCATTAATCGGATGTAAAGCACCAACAAAGTAATATGAGGAGTTGGAATGAACTATTGTATAAAAAAAATTACAATTAAATATACAGCATCCACTCACTAACAAAAAACGAAAATGACTGAGTTTGACAGATTTAATGAAAGTTATGAATAACCGAAACTTAATTTTACATGTCTTATAATATATGTACATTAGTTTTCTCTATGAACAATCCAGGAAATAAACAATTTTTCGGAAACAACAACATCATACACATAACTAATGTATATATATATGCATTTTTAATGTTCTAGAAAATCTGTCAAATGAGTTTGAATGAAGTTTCACTTTTTTTTAAAAAATAATTAATTAATTAATGCATTAAAAGCATTTTCTCTGTACGCTGTAAAAATGCAACATCTAAATAATAATCATATTAATGATATTAATAATAATAATACGAATGAATGAAATGGAAAAAGGAAAAAGACGACAGCCAACACGCCTAATGCACTGCATTATCTTCTTCAATAAAATGAAAGAAAAACTACAATCAAACAAACAAACACAGTAAACATTTTAGCATAGAAAAACACACTGTTCACTAATTCATCATGGGTATTCACAAATCTCTTGCTGCCCTTTTATTATTTACATACTCCAAGAAACATACAATAAGTAATGTATGAATCAAAAATAGCTTCAAAATAATTTTAAGCCACAATGAAATTATAAATTTAATGTAGTTTTGCATTCAAACCTACCACATAAAAATCTATCGCTTCAGCTGTTCCTTTAGTTAATATAAAATGAATTACTTTGAGATGAGTATGACTTATAAAAATGCATGCCTGTGTAAAAGATGAAGAAAATTAGTTAGAAATATTTCCTTGTTTAGTGTATCACGTCCTATGCTTCAACTAGACATTGGTTAAAGTTTATGGTAAAACAATTTTTGAAACCATGAATCGATCAACGTTAGATCACCATCAGAAACCTGGGAGCTCTGGACGGCCATTTCGTCCTGGTATGGGACTCCTCAGCAGTGCTCATCCAAGACTCCTGCACCTCACAGGATTAGAACCCAGGACCTTCGGTATTGTAGGCGAACGCCTAACCATGGTTTCAAAAATGTGTAATTTAACAATCTTCACAACCCTGTAATGCAAAATAATGTTTGAAGAATATTATTTTAAAAAGTTTACATTGACTTAACTACACTTAGTCACATATATTTTGTTTCAGTTAACGTTCATTACACCTCGGTACAATTTAGTTGTGTATCAAAGCTTGGTAAAATCAAGGCAACCCTCTTCCTTTCACATCATTCCGTTTAAATGAATTGTGTTCATTTGAATTATTGAAGCTGATTAGTGCTATACATTTTTACCAGATAATAAACCAACTTAATCACTGATGGAATGTGTGATTCATATTTATATTTATAGTAGGCAATCTAATGTATGATATTCAAAGCATATATGATGATAATGAGGAGGAGAAGCACTTAAACATCTATGAATGATTATCATTTCCACTGTAATTTTAGTCTTACAGGCTTGAATCATCTTATTGAATTTTTTTTATTCTAGTTACGTTATTTTTGTTTTACTTTTGAATAGAAGGATTATTCATAGTCATCAATTGATTCCCGTTGACTTACTTTAACATTACCTTGCAAGGATTTTGTTGAAATTTTTTTTTGGGAAAATTCATTCTGTTCTCAGTATTAGTCAACAATTGATTTGTGAAACAATTGCCTGAAGGTGTTTTTATAATGGATTTTTTCAAGTTTAACTACTTTCGTTGAATGAAACAGTAGATCTTTTGTTTTTAATGCGGTGTTATAAATCTAAATAGTGTGTGCCTGTTCGATTCACTTGAATTTGGTGAAAATAAAGATAACAGCTGTTTATAAAGATTTGTAATTCTTCACTTACTAAAAATCATAAATTTCTGCTAATTTACTAAAACCTAATAATTCTCATAATATGTTTAGAGATGAGAATTGAAACAAAGAGATCAATTTAATTTTCAAGCTGCATAATTTTCATAAGGAAATAGAATATTTCTTCCATGGTGAACTTGTGTAAATTTATAAACACAACGAAAACAGATCGTTCTATGAAAACGGAACCAACTATTTATGAAACTCTCATTGTTTTCTTCTAGTAGCATCCATTTTAAAAGAAATATTCAATAATCTTATTATCATCGGGTTATTTTTACTATTTCTAATGCCGTAATAAAGTTAATTCAGAATCGATTTTTGTTTGTAAGTAGAAGAAAAAACGGAAACATAAAAAATAACAAAGGTGGTCACTTATTAGACAGGTAAACTAAACTTCAGTGGGTAGAATAAACATTTAGTTAATTCAAAAATAAAATAGCTCTTTTGATATTCAGACAGGAACTAACGATTTCTTTTCACAGCAAAAATTTAAATCTAATGTGTATTAGTGGTTTTTATTATCAATATGTTTTAACCGAATTGCCTTTTATTTATACCTGAAATAAGGATTGATTAAAATTCCAACGACGTGATGTAATAACGCAAAACACTGAAAGGTGTGAAGATTTATTCCTACTCAAACACAATGACCATAGTTGAAAATACACTCGTTTATACATTGATTCGTATACCAACTTGATTGTTAATTACTAAAATGTCACAAGAAAAATGTCACATGAAAAATGTCAAGTAATGACAAACCACTTGATACAAAGAACATCGTATTTTGACTAAAAAATCGAATTGAAATCAATTAAATGTTTTATTGAACAAAATATCACTCTGAAAATAAAATAATAATCATTAAGTTGAAATAAAAACGGAAGTAGTTTTAAACAAAAATTCTAATGAGTCAAAAATATAATTTCGTCTTTTTATCACATATCTCACTAATTGAGAGTATCTTTGTGTCAGAATTTTAGACTCAGCTTAATTGTTTTTTGTGGTTTTGATTGATACCTTGCGGTTTATTTTTTACTAATCTTGATTCGTCGTTCATCCTTGTTTCATGCATGTTATATTACATGTTCCAAGCTGTATTTTAACAAATAAAATCAAATTTTATTCATTCTAATAAGTTTCCTGAATGTTAGGTCCAGACAAATCATTACTTTCCTCCTGAGACTTTAGGGAACCAACTTACCTTTCTTGAGACTGATTAGTTTATACTAGGTGATCTTTGGTCATTTGACATTGCTATATTTATCTATTCCTAGAGATCATGATCCACAATGATATCACCTGTCCCTACTACCTATAGGAGTTATAGATTTATTTTCATTTCGCAGCTATCCAAAAAGATAATCTAAATGTTTTCCACATTTTCTAGATGGTTATGTTGAAGTACAAAAAGCTGGTGAACGTCTACGTGAAATGGGTCCAGGCACGGTTTTTGGTGAATTGGCTATTCTATATAATTGTACAAGAACAGCAAGTGTAAGAGGTAATCAAAAATAAATACTCATTAAACATTGATTATAAAGTTTTAATTACGTTCTGATTATTAAATTATGAGAATTCTGATGAGATTAGGATATAATGTATTGTCAATACTTAAACTATGTATTTATGGATTAAAGAATCAAAATTTTGATATTAGCGTAATGGTTTTTATATTACTGTTTAACAGAAACATTTCTTAACATGAGTGGTTTATTGAAGATAAGTATGATTTAAGTATATATAGACATGCAGATATTCTGCATGGTTGTGATGAGATTAAAACAAAGTAATTCACGTTTTATTACATTCATGGCTGATTCGAGTTATTCAGTAATGAATATTTAACTAAGAGGACGAAAAACATCTAGTGGACAGTAGTGACAAAATTATAGGGAGTCGTTAGAATTTAATGATTGCAATCCGTTGTGAATTTCGACTGACTGTTTTTAGATACTCACAAAGATTGACGGTTCAAATGACCACGTCCTAGAGCCTGGATTATTAGCTCAACTGTATTCAAGGAAGGTTCTAATTAGATGTGAATGAACCAGGTGACGATGGGGCAAGAAACTGATTGCTTATATCACAATGTGAAATGACATGCGAAACTAGGAACCCGGTTTAACAGAGAGATTTCTTTTAAGAAATTTGGTTCCCAGCGTTTATAATCGTATATATATATATATATATATATATATATATATATATATATATATATATATATATATATATATATATATATATATATATATATATATATATTTGAAATGTTCGAAATCAGTAAATCAGATTGGAGTTCCATCAAGTCTTTTTGGTAAAAAAACATTTGGAACTTAAATTTTTTCTTTAACCAACATACACTAAATTAGTTTTGACTTAAAAAGTAAAACAATGATGTTAATAAATAAAATCTTTATTTTTCTATTCTGTTGAAGATATAATTTGAACTAGTTTATTTTATTTGCATTAACAAAAAGCAGTATTCTATCATCAAATGGTGAAGCGTTACATGATTAACAAAAGCATCAAACTGCATTGAGAATTTTATTTTCGCAAGACACATCACATAGGAGTTTTGAAGGTTGTGTGAAACAATTAAGGAGCAGACTTTTAAAGCTTCTGCTTTAAACAAAGATCTCGGCAGAAGTTCTTGAGATTGCACTAAATTTCTCACAATCACATAATTGTTACAATTTTACACAAGGTGTATTCACCAAATAATGATAGATCATATTTTGTTTACTGCTAAAAGTCACTGATTAAAATTTTCAATGTAATTAAATTAACTTTACAAGAAAGTGAAAGGGCAACTTAGTGAAATTGGTATAAGACTATCTTCTTTTTATTATTTCCTATGATAATAATGATAGTTTGACTGTTTACCTACATTAAAAATGTTTTGTTAATTATACGACCGAAGACTTAACGATCGATTTACATATTCTCTATTTTCTTAAAAAAATCTAATTGTTTTGAAATTATCGTTGTTTAACACTTTAAGATGTTCAATGGAAATTCTGTTAAGAAATACTATTATGCAAAATTATTAAACGATGATATTTCTTCGATTAATGAAGATTCCATTGATTGAATGAATTATAATAACCTCTTTTTTCAATATTATATGTATGATATCAATAAACATTTTACACTGGAAGACTCCCAAAAGAATAGCATTCAGTATCTTCAATTTTCGCCACATATACAAGACGTCTTATCTAATGGGTACTTATCTATTGATCTGTTTTCCAAACTTCAGTCAACTATTAACGTATCACTAAAATAGGTAATCGAAATAACCTGTATTTTAGCTCCTTGATAGATTTATGTGTAAACTGTTGAGATGTCTTAGTCAGATGTTTCGTGTTCTCTCGTTTTCTAAACTAAACGCCATCTTCAAATAAGAACTATATATTATCATTTATTTTTAACTGAATGACATTTTTTAGGACAATAACGATTATAAAATTATTTAATTTGGTATTGATTGCCCATTTGTTTTTTGATTATTTGCAGCAATAACTGATTGTAAATTATGGGCAATAGATCGTCCATGTTTTCAATCAATTATGATGTTTACAGGCATCCAAAAACAAACAGAATACGTGAAATTCCTGAAAAGGTAATTATTACCCATGTATAATTTTAATATCTTTGTTATTTAAACATATAATCAGTTTGAAATCATATTGCATTATTGACTGAATAATATACTGAATAATAATCAAAATCTATAATTGAAGTAACAAACATGTTATCAAGACATAAACTCAATTCACTTCTACCTTAATATCAAGTAATTTAAAACTGTAATCCTAATCTCACTGCATAATGTCAAATGCTCAACCAAATTACTGAATTTTCTGTTTAGAGCATACTTGATATATTTAACTGAAGTCTGTTAATGAAGCTTCAATAACTAACATTTTATCTTTCAACTTCAGACATCCTATCAAGAACAATCTAACAAAATGATGGGTTATTAATTTATTACTGATCAGTTTTTATGTCGTATTCTTGACAGTGTATAGCGATGTTGACGTAATTTTGGATTGTTTTATATTCTAAGAGTAAATGAAGAGAATCGTTAATTCAGTAGATGTACATTTACCACAATCGTTTACAAATTAAACAAACGACGGGATTTGTAAGATTTAGATTCAAATTGACCAAGTGTAAATCTCTAGTAAGAGCTAAATCATAATAAATCATTATTTTATCATCACAATTTTAGTGTCCCAACGTTTAAAGACCTGAGTTTAGAAGTCCTTGGGAAAGTGGCCGTTGTACTCGGATCAGAACATTATGAACCTGATGAGTATGTAATTAGAGAAGGTGAACGCGGAAACACGTTTTACATCATAACAGGTGGAAAAGTAAGTTACTGACTTTATATGGTCATAGTATATCATTTTAAATGTAAATCTATAGAAATGCCAGCATATTCAAATTGATAGAATTGAGAAAAATGACAATTTAAAATGTTTGTTATGATTTAGTTTATAACCCACCTTAATTAGCAATGTAATTCGCACAAAGGTCTAGAAGAATTTTATATATGAAAATGTTAATTTAACCGAAAAATGTCGGTACAGGGTTGTGGAGCCTGTTGAGTTTCATTGAAATCATGAATTGATCAGTGTTAAACCATCGTTGGAAACCGGCTTGGCGGTTAAGTGATTCGCGAGCGAAACCGAAGGGTGTTGAGGGTCGAACTACTGATTACCTAGTTGACGTTGAACTCGGTTAAGTATAATGCTATGAAAATGGTCTCTTTAGATACTGTAATGGAATGGTAAAAGTTTCATATCTTTAATTTTTTAGCAAACCATTATCATTCTCAATAATAAAGCGAAACTGAAAGAAACTTAACAATAGCGTTTTTTAACTCAGTGAAATTCAGTTTGTTCGTACAGCCATTTGCGCATCTTGTGATATTTGTTTAGTAATCAAGCTTATTTTAAAACAATAAGTTAGTAAAAAACACTTTTCGCATCAAGCTATATTCTTTTATACATTGAAGTGCTATTTATTGGGAATGTTTAATTTTAGCTCAAAGATAACTTCTCAAACGATTTCGTTCCTGCATTTTTGTTCACTCAAATTCAAAAGAATATCTGTGTAATTTTCTTAAAACTGACAAGGAATAACGTTTGAATCGGGATAATATCATACTACTAAGATTTGACAAAACAGAAAGAAATAAGAAGAAAATATAGAGTACACCTGATAATTATAAAGTAATCACTATGGTAAAAAGTGAAAAACAGTTATGATGTTCGTAAAAATAAATGCTCAGAACCATATCGTGTGTTGAAGGCGTTAAATTGTTCGATTCCAACCTTAATTCGTCTGAAATTTTTCTTGATTAGAATAATACTTATGTGTGATATATATATTGAGTCAAGGTTATTTTTCGACTGACTCTACCTTTGAGTCGAGTTACGCTTTAAAATAAACTTGAAAGGTTTAATATCAATCACCAGATATAACCTTATAAATATTTCGATTACTGATAGCCTTTTTATGCTAGGGATCCACCGCTTGTAGATATTTTATTCATTACTTCTTACCAAAAATAGATAACTGTTTTACTTTTACTGCAGGTTTCACGTTTCGTTACTGACTCTTAATTATTGTCTTTATTATCAATCGAGAAATAATCGTATGTTTATTTCTCCAGGTGAAGGTGACAAAAAATTGTAACAGTGAATGTAGTGAACAATTTATACGTTATATGACACGTGGTGACTGGTTTGGTGAAAAAGCGCTAACTGAGTAAGTTGCTGGACAAACAGTGAAGTTGATTGTGTCATTTATTTCTGTAATCTATTTTTCGCATAATAGTTGATTAGTTTAGTAACATGACCAATTTTTCATTGAACCACATGGATAGTTATAGAAAAATATGTTGACAAAAAAGAATCCGTAGTTTAGTTGTTTTTTTCAAACATTTCACAACTGTAATATCAATCAGTAGATCAGTAGATCGATAACTGCACATATGGCTAACAATAAATGTGGTCATCTATTTCATTGGTACAAATGTAGACATTATTCTAAACATTCAATTTCATACAACCAAATAATTCATTCATCATGAATTAAAACTGTAAATACGTAAAGCAGAACTAATAACCATTTTGCTTGATGATAATAAACTTTGACAAGTAATAAATCTTATTCACTAAACAATTTTTTTTGAACATTTATGTGTATATATTTATTATGTATAAGTAATCATTAGGCTAATGGACATCATAAACTAATCTGTTTATAGTCTCTTACACATTGTATTTCATTGTTCTGTCATGCTATTTACCTCAAAATGATTATTTATTGTAATTTTTACTTTTATTTAAAGTGAAGATGTTCGTACAGCAAATATAATTGCGATGCCACCGCGTGGTGTAGATTGTTTAATGCTAGACAGAGAGTAAGTGAATACTCGTTTATAATCATTAGCACTGAGCAAGTAATTTATTTTGATTACATTCTATCCACTACTGTTTATTCTTATAAAATCTGATTTATTTTAAACTTTTTGCAAAACACTTGGTTAGTAATGGTAACTACATTTGACATGACTATATGTTTTATCTATTGAAAGAAATAATTTGAATTACTACTCACACCTTCCTTTTAAATCGTATGACTGAATAAACAGACGTAGGAACGAATGTGTATCACTGGACTATATAATGCATATCTTTTGTAATCGCGGAAAATGCTTTGAACAGAAAATAACACGTTTATCGTATTGATATTTTTCACCGTAAAACAGTTCGGCAATGACTTTTTATCATTTTTATTGTAATAATAATAATAGCAATGACTTTATTAAATATAGTAAGATTAGTACAATATGAAATTCTCAGCATGGAATATTCTAACAAGTTTCCTTTTCAATGTGTATATAGCCAGCCGCTACGATGTCTTGGATTGTACTTTTCTGCATCGTAAGAGGTGGTAGGTCCTAAAATGTTTACATACGCACCTGAATAGATGATGCGACTAAAAGACATAACTGAAGTTTTAGAACAAACAAAAAAGAGGTAACCTTTTAAAAATATTTTGATGTTAGGAAAAAAAACTGGTAAAGCAATTTTAAAACTAGACACCATAAGCGATTTAACTTAAAAGAACCCGTTTTATTATTAATTTATACTAAGATTGAATAAAAGGAATTTTACGGTCTGATTTCAGTAATTCAATAGTAAGCACAACAAAGAAACTTCCGAATAAATTGGTTTGACGGCTACAAAAGAAACGTAATAGATAAATGTATCAGTGCTGAAATATATATACATCACAAATTAAACTACAAAACAATATAATTATTTAACATTCTCAAAAGTTGTAGATGATAGATTGAAAAATATAATGAAGAGGATTTGTAGAGACTTTATTATTCCAGTCGTTGAAATCATGAATTGATCTAAACTAGTCCCATACAAGGATGAAACGGCCGCTCAGTGCTTGCAGATTTCTAATGGTGGACTAGCTTCGATTAATTCTTGATTTCAACTACAAAAATATACTAGGTGAGTAAAATAAAATATCTTCATGTTTTGGGATATATAAATATCGATCAGATTAAAATATATTATTGTGATTGTAATTATAACCATCAATGAAGGTAGATCATTTATGCAACAAAATTGAGGCAAATTTAAAATATTAAATTCCAACTTTGAGTCTTGTTTTGATTCGAGCCACATAACGTCTAACACTGGAATCTGAAATACATGTTCCGTCTTATTCGGAATGTGCGTGTTGCAAGTACCTGCATTTCTCTGAGGATAACCGAAATGAGACTCGAATCTATTACATTTTATTCTGAGTGTCAAGGTATTATCGAGTGGAATATCCATTTTACATGACAATGACTATCTGGACACAGTATGCTGAATTACTGATATTTTCAGTCTGTATTATGAATACTATTATTTTTTATGGATTTCCTTCGTTCACTCTAGTAATTATTCTACAAAGAATAAGTCGGATTATTGATAATTACGGTTTGATTTACATATTAGCTTCTTCACCGCAATCACGTTCACCATAATGATAATAAGAAATTTGTAGAGTAACATGATTGTAACAAAGAAACAGATTAATGTTTTAAATGATGTGTTTCTGTTTTCTCTTTATACTTAAAAGTTCATATAATGTACTCATTAAAGATTTAGTCAGTTTCGAAAGAAGTTATCCAGATGAAAAACCTACCATTAGGTAAGTGATCAACAAACATTTGTTTTTTTTTAAAAATTAAATCTCCAATTTTGTTTCATTTCTCATTTGGTAAACCTGTATACATTTCAAAAGTAGTTTGTGTTGAATAAACATTTCATTATACTATTGTTGAAGTAAATATGAGTGATATCGAATTTCCACCAAAAATTGTCTCAACTCTACATTTTCTCTTGAAACATGACAATACATGTAGATCATCTCTTGAGTATACATACAATCAACCATTATTAAATATGTTTCAATTCCCAATAGTCAATCAAAACTGCATCGTTATTAATTAATGTTTTAATTAAGCATTGTGAACAGAAGCGGATAGTTAAATCCTGTACAAAAGTAGTTATCGCCATAATAAGGTCATAATCTCATTAATCTCACTAACGATACAATTCCAACGGGAAGTTAGTTATAGTCAGGGTTTAATTTCTTACACTTGTACTAACTAGTAAAATACTAATGAAAAATAAAATTTAAAGAATTTATAAAGATCAAAATATTTAGTATTTTGATTTCTGTATATCTTCTCAGCTTCCACAATCTTTTTCAGATAACATCTATATAAATATTAATTTATATATCACACGTGATGAAAGTAAATTCAAAAGTGAAAGTTACCAAATCAATTTTTTTTATAAGTGGTTGGTGTTAAGTCAAGAAACGACACATTAAAAACCCTTAGTACCCAATGCCTTTTTATGTTTATCATTGAGTCCTTCTCAACTTACATAAAACATTTCATACTGATACATAGTTCACTATTTTAAGAAGCAACATAGCTTCAAGTCCTTAATTGTACATGCTTTACTACAGTCGTAGTTGTAATATCATTATTGATTTATAACCACTCACTCTGATGCTAAACTACGTTAAGACAGTTGTTCACAGAATGATTCCATAGGTAGTTAAAACCAAACATAATTTGTAACATTAAAAATGTTTGCAAAAAATAATAATTTACTAATTGAACAATAGTAATCACAATTGAATGGTTAAACTATGCTAGGTTAGTTTTGTAGAATTAAGTTTCAACTTTTGTTTCGACTTCACTAAGAATATCGAATTTGTTTTTACTAGAGTGAAATGAGGGCTGAGGAAAAATATATGTGCAGCAAAATTATTCATTCAAATATTATTTAAAAGATTTCCAAAGAACGTGTACAAGTTTTGACTTCAGTAGTGTACAGAATTTTATCAAGTAGATCGAAGACAAACCAAACAAACACTGAGGTTGAATAAACGAAATCCATATTTTACAACCCATTTACTCATGCAAACGGAACAGTTGGTAGGATTTACAAAAAAGATGAAATTAACAATACTGTTAGTTGATTTCAGAAGCAGAATAATGCACTCAGAATGTTTTATATGTATATTTTTCATATTATAATTTAACCATAATTTAACAAAACGCATATACTTATTTACTAAATCATTATATAGAATTCATAAATTAGGGTTGTATAAATATTGTACAGGGAACACAAATTCATTTAAACAATTTCATTAACAATTATTTATTGAAAAGGGATATTTCCTGTTTTTAGTTGCATCTATATATATATATATATATATATATATATATATATATATATATACATAAAGAAAAACAACTATTCTGGTTATAATGATTTCAGTGGCATATTCTAATTTTATTACTATCTCACAAATAAGTGACTTCCTGAGGTCAAACAGAAATATATTCTGATTAATACAATCTAGATTAAAAACATTTAAACTATCATTTTTCTTGATTAACCCAGTGAAGCAAATCATAGTGATGGTCATCATAAATAACATGATGTTGATTTTAATCACACGCAAAGGACCATTGAACCCAGAGATTAGATTTAAGGATTATTGTTGAGTACTAAATAGCTCTATGTATCTTTTTGACTCTTTAATTGTTGCGTATTTATGAAATTGACTGTTCTGAAAGTATACAAGGCTACAAAATCAACTGAAGGCAATATTTATTAGCAGTTAAATGATGCGAAGGATAGTAAATTTTAAAATTATGCTAACAATTACATCTTTTCTATATGCTTATTATTAATTTTGTAGTCAAAGAGAAAAGCAATTTTCTGAAATTAAGCTTAGTGACTTTACTGTTGTATCAACAATTGGGATTGGTGGCTTTGGTCGTGTACAGCTGGTAAGCAAATAATTTTATGTTCGATCTTATAGTGGTACTCAGTGATTGCATCATTTTTAACTGACTAGGTTATTTATTTATTTATATACTTACTTACTTACTTATGACTGGCAACCCCGATGAAGCATAGGCCGCCGAGCAACATTCTCCAACCTACACTGTCCTGGGCCTTCCTTCATAGTTCCACCCAATTGTTGCTTATTCTTCTCATGTCTGTCCCAATTTATCGGCCTACTGTCTTCCTAGGCCTTCCTCTTTTCCTCTGTCCTTGAGGTTCCAAATGAGGGCTTGTCTTATGATGCAGTTGGTTACTCTCCTCAATGTGTGTGCTATCCACTCCCAACGCTTCTTCTTGACTTCTTCTTCGTCTGGAATCTGTTTTGTTCTCTTCCACAGTAGGTTGTTGCTGATGATGTCTGGCCAACTGACTCGGAGTGTTTTACGTAGACAACTGTTAATAAACACTTGTATCTTCTGGATGATAGCTGTTGTAGTTCTCCACGTTTCCGCCCCATACAATAGAACTTTTTTGACATTTGAATTGAAAATTCTGATTTTGGTGTTGGTTGATAGTTGTTAGGAGTTCCAAATTTTCTTCACTTGTGGAAATACTGCCTTTGCTTTTCCAATCCGCGCCTTAACTTCTTCGGCGGACCCACTTTGGCTGTCAATGATACTGCCCAGATACGTAAAGGAGTTAACGTCCTCCAAGGCATCTCCATCAAGAGTGATTTGGTTGGCGCATTTCATGCTGTATCGGACGATCTTGCTTTTCCATTTATGTATGTTGAGACCTGCTGCTTCCGAGGCTGCTGCTACACTGGTCATCTTCTCTTGCATTTGTTGTTGCGTGTTCGATAGAAGAGCCAGATCATCCAGCTGCATCCTGATTGTCCACTGTATCCTGTGCTTCCCTCCAGGTATTGACATCTTCATAATGCAGTCGATCACCAGGAGAAAGAGAAAGGGTGAGAGTAAGCAACCATGCCTGAAATCGGTCTTTACTTTGAACGAGTCTGTCAGCTGTCCTCCGTACACGATTTCGTAGTTTAATCCATCGCAAGAATTTCGTATGATGTTGACTGATGTTGCCGTAGTGTCGAAGAAGTCTTCATAGTGTTGTTCTGTCCACGCCATCAAATCCCTTCTCGTAATCAATGAAGGTGATGTAGAGTTATGATTTCCAGTCAACTGATTGTTCCACAATGATCTGTAATGTTGCAGTTTGTTAGGTACACGATCGATCCTTACATAATTCAGACTGTTGATCTCGAAGTTAGTTTGAATAATTCAAACTAACTAGCACTAAATAAAAAATGTGAAATAACTTGATTTACCAAGTTAACCTTTTGTCACTGTTGACGTTTATCATAAATGATTCTAAAAAATTTTCAAATTCTATCAATGATACAAACGTAATTTTCAAATAAACAAACACTTGAGTGTATAAGTACATAAAAAGTACTGTACTGATAATTACCATTTCAAATGATTTTACTATTCGAAATCCTGTTACAGCAAGGTTATTGAAAAAGTTATTCTTGGAAAAGAGCACAAATCATTTAAATAGCTCGCCAGTTCAGTGTTAAATAGATTATAAAGTTGATATTTATTATTAAAAAGTTGCATATGTATAGAATAGAAATTGGATGATGGTTTAAAAATATTAAAGACAAATAACTGATCATTTAAAGGGTTCACTTTAAAACCATAGCAGATATACGTTTGCTACTAATGTGATTGCTAATTTATCATAAGTAAAGTTGATGACTGAACCCGCCTATTGACTATTTACCCTATCTACCTGTAGGACTAACAACCTTACATTGATAACTCAGCCAAAAGCCATGAACAAACGACCGGGACCATGGTATTTATCAGTCCTCGAACACCAATTAACATATTGTCTAATATGAAGCCAAAGTTATCAAATATATATTGTTTCTATTGTATTATTTCCATCTTTACTAAAAATCTCATTTGACAGTAGGTATCGATTACTTGATTACACAGGAACTGCAGAACAATAAACTTTCTTTCAGGTATTTTAGTTGATTTTATGAATTTATTCGGGCGTACTATACTAAATGATTTTTTATTTAATCTACATCACAATTAAAACAGTTTAAATTATTTTTTTTAAACATCGTAAATCGGCTTTCTGTTTATTTTTTTTTATCTTAAACTGATTCAGTTGTTTAACTGAGTCTATATCCGTTTAATTATCAATTTCAATCATTCGATTTCAACATGTGGTAGTAATCTAGACAAGTTTTCGTTTTAAGTTATCATAAATGTAGTTTAGTTTTTGCTTTTTATGTACGTAGGTTTATTTAAACAAAGATAAACGACAATGTTTTGCTTTGAAAAAATTAAAGAAACACTATATTGTTGAAACAAAACAACAAGAACATGTACTAAATGAGAAAACTATTTTAATGGAAACAAATCATGAATTTATCGTAAAGTAAGTTGATTATTATTTTGGGTTTGTTTCTATATCTTAAATCGTTGATATTGATGTTAATTATTATGTAATAATTGTATTTATTGGAGTGAGTAACAATAATAAATGATCTCTAATCAGTAAATGTTTCGAATTGAATTAGCATTTCGCTTCATTGTCCATAGTGATCTATGAATGCATTCGTCAGATGCAAACATGTCAGAATGTAATGGAAATGGTGTCGGGAATTTTGAATCCAGTTACAAAATATACATTAAAACTGTAATTCATTTTATTGCCAGTATTATACACATAATATTGTGTTACATCGTGCCACTTGTTCAAATATTCAAACCAATATGAGGTATTTTTACAAACAGTATGTAATAATTCTATTGTTCAATTACCATAACGCTTGTTGTTTCTATAACGGCTGATAAGTTTTGATCAAAGTAGTTTTTGTTTAACCAGATGATGATAAAAGCCAAAATTTATGACTTAAATAAAAATTTCACTTTTTACAATGTCACCTACTGGTATCAATCAATATTCCGAACTTACTTGAATCAACTTGATTTAATTGTACGAACCAAACAGTGTTAGTTGAACAACTGTTTTAAATAGTTATGTTAAAGTTTGGTCTGAATATTAAAGAAATGTCACAATGTTTGATGTAGTAGGTTATCTGAGATGCCAATTTCAATCATAAATATATTTATGTAGTTATTTCACTAGTTATTACAGGATTTTTTTCGAAATATATTTTAAAATGCTTAGAAGTTCTACTGAACTACAACTCAGTTGCTGCTCCTTTTATTGATATATATTTACTAAACCTAATTATTCTATGAATAATAATTACGTTACACTGTCATGTTATTGCCAGGAAAGTATTAAATTCTTTCACTATTAAGTTTTTCTTATTAAATGTTGATCTGTCTTAGTTGGTATGTACGCATCCTCTTCCGATTGACATAGTATAGCCATTTTACTTTCATAGTCCTGACTATTAGCAGGCAGATAATTAGAAATCTTTCTAACAATTATATAAATATTAGACCCGTTGCAGCTTAGTGTATAAAGTGTTTGCAATTAAAGTGAAAGATATCAAGATCATGCACCTGTGTACACATTAACGCCCAAGTGCGGGTAAACCTAGCTGACGAGACCCAAGTAAGATGAAACGCGCCACCTACTTGTCATAATCTGGCTATTCAATAACAATATGATTTTATTTCGTCGTAAATAAAAAAGAAAATTAAAATTCTGGAATTTTACGCTACCATGTACCGAAACAGTGAAGATATGATCACAAATAAGCACCTTTATTTCATGAAATTCAGTTGCAAATAATCACAGAAGAAATTATTAAATTCTTGACAGAAACTTTGAACAACATCAATTAATTTTCACTGAATTAGCGACGTTGTTATATCTTAACGGTACTTTCAGGTTTGTTTTTCGAAGTACCACATTTGCATAATCAAAAATCTATTTAATAAAATGATATTGGTCCACTAAGTTCAGCAGGAACAATCAATAACTTAATCAGAGGATGTTTAGATTTTAAGGGAGCTTGTGATTTAGAAACCTATGATACCATATTGCTAAAATCTTGAATTTCATGTGATGAAACTCAATCGATCTGATGATTATAAATTATGCCTCTGCAACAGTGAAGTCCCTTTCACTTATTTACTGTTTTTATGAAATCTTTACTTTTATTATGTTTTTGTCAAAATACATAAACACGTTGATAAGATTTGTTGAAAATAATTTATTCCTTTAGAAAGAAATAAAGAAAGTTTATTAACTTTTTGAGAATCATCACGCTCCCAAATTAATTGTATCTTAATTTTTCAAACTTAATTTTATTGTTAGAAATTTTTTTTGAGCGAAAAACTTTAAGGCATCTTTCAAAACAACTCACCAATACATTGGGATTTCACTGTTTTCTTTTAACTAATTTTCTAAAAATAAAATAATTCAATAAAAAACTTCCATCTTTATTTTTTTTGAAGATATAAATTTTGATTTTTTTGTTTTGTTGCCTAGAAAAGAAAACACCTCACTAAGTTTTGTTTTGTTTCACACTAATCAACAATGATAAAAGCTCTAGTAAACAAATACATAGCGCATAAAAGGTGGAAACTAAAACAAGATTGACTGACAGGTTGGTTAGGCTGTTTTTTTCCTCTCGACCACAACAAATAAACTTATAAACAAAACCTTAATTGAACTTCTTAATTAAAAGATTGTTTTATATGTACACTATATTTAAAACTCAAGTATTATTCACTTTATCTAATTGATTATCAATAGTGAATAATTATCTGCAAAATTTTGTGTTTTTTAAAATAAAATTAGATTAGTTGATTAGTCGTAACTAATAAATCTTAGAACTAGAGATAAGCATTAGTTTGGTAAAGATTTTCTTAAATTGACATTTTAGGGATTAGTATGATTGGAATATTCTATCATTATGATCAACTTAAAGATTGGTTACATTTTCTAAGTAGTCTCAATACCATTAGATTATTTTATGATGATTTATTTCACAATTGCCAATTTACATGTGTTATAATGGTTAGATAACACATACAAATGTTTACGTCTTAACACTAGCGGTGTAAAGGAATAAATATGTGAATTTTGCTTAAAGAGAGCATGTACCAGATTATTGGAACAATGTGGACATGTAATGTTATGGTTATTAGATAAATTTTAATCAAGTGGAATAATACTATGAACTAATTGTATGACGATTAGTCACGAAACCCCACAAATTCTTCTCATATGTAATTTGAATCAATTTATTGAAAATAAACCGGACAGTTGATCAACAACGAAACTACCTTTACTAATTGTTAAATAGCACATTGTGTTAAGACGAAATAAATATCATTTGAAGTTTTATTCGGCATAACCTGTTTAATACGTAGTGATATTCAAGAAGTATGAAACTTTAGATGTCACGCACATTTATGTCCTTCATATTACCAACAAAAACAAATCAAAATCGAATCTTCTACAAGAGACACAAAACATTTTCATAACAATTCAACAAACATTATTCGATGTATTTTTAAATACTCCTAAATATAATTATTTAAAGTACACAGATAAATTATTGAAACTATTACGAGTTCAACTCGCTTAGTAAACGGAACGAAGATCAACGATGCAGTAAGACAATGGGCTATTCTAATCCGGTTGTCGCAGGCCCCGGCTAACCAGAGCAAGAAGTCTTGATAAGGCTTTGAGAATGTATTTTACAAGCACTCAGAAAGGTTGAGGTTACCAAGCATATAACTCGAGCTTATTTATGCTACTGATAAAATGCCCCTGAAGGGCCACAAAATAGCGTACTAAAATAATCCATCAACTAACGACAGTCAAGGATTTCCCGAGGGGAAAATGTAAGCTGAAAGTCGATTGGCGCGAAAACATGGAATTCAATTCAATTTTAAAATAACAAAATCAGGACCTTCTCCAAGTGATTTCTAGGGATCTAAATGAATAACTATCGGTGATCGCTTACTTGTATAGACAGGATAATTTGTAATCTCATTCCACTTGAACTGAGAGCATGAAATATTATTCACTCCAAAATAATGATAACGTTTGTAACATTCAGAGGTTGCATCATCCACCACTTCTAAATTGTTAATGGTGGTCTCACAAAAACCAATAATAAGCTTTATCTGTGAAAATGATGTAGAATGTTGAAAATTAAAAGCATTATCGAATTTGCTAGTTATATTTATGGACAAAATTATTTTTGGCTTATCATTATTTACAAAATGACAGATATGGAATAAGAATATTTTGAACAGGTCAAAATAGGTTGGTTCTTATTGAATAATTTTTTGAATCATAAAAATATTTTTATTTTACTCAGGAGATTCAATACAATCTAGTTTAATAAAGATAATCTATCACAATCAGCTATGAAATTTCAGAAAACAGAATCAGTTCTACCGATGTAACTTGTATTTGACAAAATTCTATTTAAAGAAAAAAACTAAATATTTTTTATTCTCTAAATTGAATGAACAATAGTTTAAACTTGTTCTAATTATGAAACATACAGTTTTCAGTGGTCATTGCAAAACATTATGGAATCAGAATAACATCAAAATCATGATAGTTTTAAAATTAAAAATAATTGGAGGAAATTTAAAATTTAAAAGTTCTATAAACAGATAGAATCAATGAAAAATATTATGTTATCAACAATTTGACATTTTGCATGAGTACAACTAATCAATAAAATATTCATCAGTTTACAATAATTTAAAAATATACATACCACTGTATTGTACATCATTGTATTTAGTAATTTTTAACGGATTTATCTAGAATCAATGGACTAATGTATTTTTTCTCAAGAAAATTTATTCGCCTTTATTCTAGAAAAATGTATTTAACGATTTATTTTTCGTTTAAAGAAAAAAAGTATTTCACCGATTTCCCCTCTTTTTTTTAATTTCACCGAAATTTTACTCACTATATTCAATAATATAACGCAATCGAAAAGTTTAAAAATAAACTGACTTTCGATTTGTTATCAATTATACACACAGAAAACAGATATACTATTTGGATCCATAGACTAATCATGAAATAAGTAAAAGTGTTTACTTTGTGAATGATGATCTCACTGAAACATCAGTTAAATTACTCTGCTGAGGAGTGGTCGTAAATTGATAACTAATGAATTCATGCGTTGTTGTATTTATAATAACTGGTTGTTAGAAAAGGAAGCTGCTGTTCTTCATTCGTTTGGCTTAGACAAGAAAATAAAAAGTGATAGAAATGGAAATAGTTTTGATCTTCAAAAATACTTCGATCACGTTTACCGATATATTTTTATCTATAATTTATTGACGCATGATGATGACTAATTTGCAAATATCACAAATAGGGAAAGTGCAGAGTTACTGAAAAATCCAAATTCACTTCAGACTAAAATCATGCAAAGTGATTAAGCCTAAAATGTATATCAGACTGAAATCAAATCCATTATACTCAATTGAATATCATACTGAAAATAAAACAAACTTTATACTGAGCATTTATCAAGAAACACACTGGGTTAAAACTTTATCGAATGTTTTTATGCCATCTTAATATTTGTCATCATAGATTGGAATCAACTGAAGAATCGATTTAGGGTAGAAAAAAAATAAGTGAATATTTGATTTAATTATTGAGGCCTCAGAGATGTGTATCTAATAGCTGACCGGAGATTAGGCCCGAATTCCACGCCTGTTATTATTCCTACTGTAAATAAAAAGATAAGAACTGTTACTATGGCCGTTCGGGTATCCCTGATAATGTTTAGTATCTGCTGAAAATTATTCTGTGATATTTTGTAAGAGAAATCACACAGCAAGACTGGTCTTGATTTCATCAATTTGTGTAGTAAGTGAGCATTATCGTCTTTGTAAATGGAAAACTAAATAAAATATCTTATTTCCAAAAGGTTATTGTTTGTTACGTTGACCTGAATGATGGAAATCTATGCTTAGAGTTAGACTTTAGTGAGTGAACATTCTTTACATTAATAATATCACAACTGCGACCGTGCAAAAAAAGAAAGAATACCTTCTACATCATTAGTTTTTACCCAGTTACATTTAAGTTAAGTTCAGTATAAATAATTATACTTAAAACTAAAACAACTTATCAGCCATTGAGTAATCAGTCGAAAATCTTATCAAATTTAAAGTATATGCAAAGTTTTCAAACATTCTTCAAGTAATAAGAAAAAATTCATTGTTCTTACCAGATTATTAGACAAAAATTTATTTAGAAAATAAAATGTAACGTATGAATTGCATTCAAAGATAAATGATCAATGAAAATTAAACTCATCGTTAAGTTTACTTGTATAACTAAGACATTCTTCAAAGTCAACCTATGGCTTGTTTTTGTCCATTGCTTTACATCTCAAACTTATTAGCATAGTTGTAAGTTGTGAATGAGTTGTTTTGAATATGAATATGATATCTGATTAATGCAACTATTCATGCATGTCGTCAAGCTATGAGTACTGTCGGACCAAAGACAAACGTCTAAGCAAGTCAACATTTTTTTCTATTTCTGTTCAAGTTAATAAAACAAGCGTTTTTAGGAATTTTATAAGACGTCAATTTTTTGAAGGATAGTCAATAAATTGCCAATATCCACATCAAATTATTTTTTCAATATATCAGGTATTATATGTATATTTGAGCTGATATATAAAGTTGGATACAATCAATAATGAAATTGTAATAAAATGCAGTAAATTTATTATATTCCACAAAAAAGGTTGAATATTTCATTGACTAAGTTTATGAAGTAAGAAATATTTTACATATATGAAAAATGTGTACTATACTCATAGCACTACAGTCAAGTTTTATGTTATTCAAGTTATTTATATTCATTAGGATTTCTATAGATGTCTTCTCCTTAGTCAGAGTAGATATGTCAAAATTGGCGGCACGATAAATATTTATTATTGGTAATATTTTTTAAAATTGAATTTGATAATTTAACGAAGTAAAAATAGGTCTGGAAAAAATAATGTTCTCTACAATAAGACTTATCATCATAATTGACAATATATATATATATATATACAATGCAATTATTATCTCATGCGTATTTATAAATTAAATCTACTTTATTATCATTGACTGATAATGTTAATAATAATAATAATAATATTTTTCACACCTCAAAAACGCTATTTACATTAGAATTTACAATATTTTATCATGAGTTGGATTTGTGTTTAGTTTCAGAACAGTAAAATCTTATCTCTCAATACGCCGATATTCATTAGAAGTGTTTGTCACTTTTATAAGTTTCTAGTTAGTTTGTACACTTAGTTGTTTGAGTAACAGAAATCAATGTCTTTACAAAAGTAACATAATTATCCATCATATACGTGAATTTTTAAGCTACTAAAATTGTCAGAAACAGAACGACGTTAACCGTCTAACAAATAATCTCATAATTCCGGATTTTTATTCCAATCAAACCATATTTTACAATTTATTGACTTTCCAGGTGGAAAGTTTAAAATATAAAGAACTATTTAGTGTGTATATTTTCTCTGAGTGTTATAAATCATTAGATACTTAAAGCAGAAAAATATTATCTTGTCGATACTATTTTAAGTACATTATATAAGTGCATATAATTTTTATTTTCGTTATCTTTCAGATTATATCGAACATATAAAGATCAACGCTATTTGTATATATTATTAGAAGCTTGTCTAGGTGGTGAACTATGGACATTGTTACGCAATTCCACAGCATTTGACGATTCAACAGCGAGATTTTATTCAGCTTGTGTAGTCGAAGCATTGAATTATTTACATAGAAAAGGCATTGTTTATCGTGATTTAAAACCGGAAAATTTACTCTTGGACAGTCAAGGTTTCTGCAAAATGGTCAGTTTGTATAATTAGTATTTTTTTTAAAATTTCGATACTTAAGCATAACATATCACTGAAATGATTGTTATTATCAGGCGTATTATATCATAACAGTGTATTTTCGAAATATTACGTTATTGCCTAACATTTTTGTTCATTGTATATGATGGTCTAATTTAATAAAATCTATTACTGTAAAAAGTTAATTGCATTAAAATGTAGAAGACATATTGTGATCACATCCAAGCAAATAATAACAGTCGAATAGTAACTATATTAACCAAGCTTTAAACATATTTCTAAACTTTTAGCGAGGAGCATAGTAATTTAGAAATCTTTAAAACTATTCGTCCGTTTTATAAACTTTGATAAAAACAGTGAGAAATCTTCTTTTATTGAGAGATTAGTAGAAAATAAAATTAACAACACAATGAGGATTACATTGATGATACTTTTTAATTGCAAAATAAGAATTTAATGACTAAGTCCCTAGGCTCAAAAAGTAAACATAATTTCAACTTCGAACAAACAAAAGATTTTTTGATACATGTTTTAGAAATATCCCTTTTTGTAAGATCTAAGTATTTAACGATTCACTTGGTATGGCGTGAACATCGGTAGTAGTTCTAGACTAATTTCAGTTTAAAAGTGAAACACTCATTCAATGCTTTCTGTTGCTCAGTAGTCATCGATATATGGTAAATTTGTGATTACTCACATACCTTGAAATAGATGCAGCAAAAATTGAAGATAAAATAATCTTTTTGTTCATCAAACTATTTACATTTTGATGTAAAAATATTTTGCATTTCAATTTATGCAAAAAAGAGAATTACAGTTTGATTTCTATAATTCTTTTGAAACAGTTAATTTAAATTGAGATAACTGTTTATCGTAGTGAATAATTTACAGTAGTGTAAAATGACTGTTTGACTACTGCTATCAATTATTTTCTTTCCATACAATTTCAGTAAATTAACTTAAAATTCGCTAAACATTCTCAATGTTAGAACAATACATGTAAGTTGTATCCGCCCTAGGAAGGTATAGCGATATCACACAATATGTACATTATGAGTCTTACTACGGAAACATACTTATTCATGGTATTCCACAAGACGATAGTAATCGGTGGTTAGAGACCTTGAATGACATGGCTCAAAATCCTTTGCAATGGCGCAGCTGCATTCATTCTTTGTGTTCTCTCAAATCCTCATCTTCTGGATTCGTCAACACCTCTACTTTTGTCTTTCTAAACCTATCTCACTGAATTATACTTCTTGAATAATATCTTGGAACCCTTATACTCTCTATTACTAGTAGTACTCCTACTATCTTTAACACTATGGGATTTGAATGGACAATGCTAATGTGGTATGGCAACATAAACTGATGTACTTACGTACAAAGTTCTACGTTACATTTGACTATTCATGGTATTCAAATAATAATTACTAGAGACAAGTACTTGAGCCTGTCAGATTCCAGTTCAGTTTACCTGACATCCTAGTTATATGACAAATTTAAATCATTGAAGAGATATGAATTTCAAAGTAAGACTTGACCCAATAAACGATTGAGTAATTTTTCTTGACGTCAAAAATCACATCATATAAACCATATCAAATTCAAAAATTACTTTTTTTCGGATATTCATTATTGGAAATAAAATCAATTTCAGTTGTTTACAAAAATTTATTAGAAAATTTTCTTAGAAAAATTTCTTGTGAATTGGTTCTTTTATAATTCAATTTTAAATCTCTAATGTTTTGTTGATATTATTGGCTTCAATGCAGTTTGAAACTTTGTTAATTTAAATTAAATTCAACATCATAGAAATTTTTTTATGATAAACTGATTAACCAACTAACTATCTGTTTTAACTATTTTGATTTATTATTCTTTGGAGAATTCATTGAAAAAAAATCTTGAACAAGTTGGGTTATTTTTTATTTTGTATACAATAGAGTGTTTTTAAATTTGTTTGATTTATTTTAAAAAATCAAAAAAAAATAAATAAATAAACCTGAGATAATAGGTATATTAACTAGGTGCATAACAGTCGGTTTCTCAATAATTTTACGCCATAAAAACTATTGGTTTAAAGTGAAAGAGATGTGTGTGAGAGAGAGAGAGAGAAAGAGGGGAGAAAGAGTTAATTTTCAGAGAGATTATTATTTAATTAACTAATATATATATATATATATATATATCTTTCATGCATAGCATTTTTCACTTTTATTAAGTATTAATAACAGTTAAAAGATGAAAATATGATGCGATAAATGCCGAATGATAGATAATTCCATCCTTTATGTTTATTGTCTGTGTAAAAAGTAGTCATCTATGAAATTCTCACTTTCTTTTAACAGCAACCATTTAGATGATTGGATCACTTGGGCAGAAATGAGTAGTACAAATGGTAAACACAAATAAAGAAAAACAGTTTATAAACGGGAAACTTTTTGTGTAGCTGTACAATTGTTTTCTTTGTCAATAAAATAATATAAATTTTAAAAATTTGGACATTGAAAGTTAAATAGTTTGTATCCTCTCAAGACAAAATGAAATACACAGGTTCTGATGCATATATGGGATGGCAGAAACATGTCTTTTATAATAACTTATAAAGTATAAGGTTAAAAAATTGTAAAACCACTTAAACATATATGAGATGTTTTCCTGTAGTGAACACGATCAAATCCAGAGAAGATTGGATGTTATCTATCCTTATAGTTAGTGTTTCGAAGTTCGGAAACGAAAAAAAGTGTTGCATAACACGTCTGATATTGTATAGTAAAATAAACAGTTTTCTAATCATAAGAACATTGAATGAAAATATTAAGTATGTAATAGAAGTAATGTAGTTTAGGACTGGCGATATACACTACGGTGAATATCTCAAGCATGTGAAAGGTAGGAGATTTAACTGTTCGCTTAAAAGCAATTGAAGAAATAGATAACTGGTTATAGAAACCTAAAAACTATAGAAAGTTAGTGATAAGATTAAAAGTACCGTTGTTTGTAAAAGTGGATGTTTCCTTATTGAAACAGAATTCAGGCATAAAACAGTGATAAATGATAAATAAACAATCATGTAGTATTACGAATCGCTTGTCAGCCATGAAGTATGAAAATGTAAGTTTTTCACACTAAAAATTTTTATCTGAAGAATTCATTACACTTGAAAACTCAAAAGTATTAACAATGCACTCTTATTTCACATTCATACATTCAAGATCAAAACGTGGCCATCATAAATATTTCGTGATCGTGGAGAAAATTTGTAGCTCATGTGAATGATTGTGGCGCTGTTTCGTTCTCTGAGCTGGATGTTTCGGTTGTGGAGCTTTCATTGTTCTTCTGAACAACATCATCAGCACAAACTTCAGATAGAAGTGAAGTATTCGAATTCCTCCACGTTTGATCCATTATTGATTTTATTATCCTATGCTGTCTGTAATAAACCTTACATACTCATATAAATAATTATATTTTTCGGTCCTAAATTAAATATTATTCTGATATATTTTGTATAAAGTTTTTAAACTTACTGCTTTTACAACTAATAGTTTATAATGAATGATATAACACTATTCATGTAAACGAGAAGTCGTTTTTAAAACTTTGTTAATGTAGGAAGAGTGTTGAGCTTTAGAGCTCAGTCACATACTAATCAGTTTCATTCAAGTATGTAATTCTTCAGTAAGACGTATACATCATCCTACTGGTGATCAAAACCAATGTACTCAAGTCTTGAGACGAGTTTTTAACCTTTAGACTTTCGATACTACTGCTATCGAGACCTATAAAACGGCGAAAAAGTTGAGCGGTGTTTTTTGGTTCTAAGTGGTTGTCTAAGCAACTTTCCTTTGTTAAAAAAAAAGCTTAAACTGAATATTAAACTTATTAATGAAACACTTTTCAAGAACTTTAATATCAAACTAATTATTGCTTATAAACTATAGATTTTCAGTTGAATAAGGTTACAATGATTTTCAGAACTTCAAACTGTTAATCGATAGACTTTTTTTCTTAGTATATATACTTACTGAATAAAAAATTCATTGACAGTACTGACACCTTTTACATAGACTTCAGGTTGTGAATTTAAATAACAAATTAAACAGCTTTAAAGAAAAATAATTAATTATTAAAACTATAACATATTAATTAGAAATTATATTAAAATTTGACTTTTAGTGGAAGCATATAAATGATTATTCATCATATGTAAATAGTTTAACTCCGACTCGATTCAAAATGTCAATCAATAATTCTGTAGGAAAAATTTCGAAGATAGAATTTTTAGTAAACCGACAGAAATATGTTGTGATCAGTAAAGTTCCTAGCTAGTCTATCAAATAATGTCGTTCAATTGTAATTTAATACATAAATTTGATTGGTGAAGTTATTGAATTTTCTGTAACAAATGTTTATTAAATCCCGAAGTAAGTCGACCGAAATTATTTCTTGTTTGTTTCAGATTACTTGTTGTCAGTAAACTAGTCTAAGCAATATATATGTTTCATTTTATTTAGTCTGGTCCATTATTAGGAAGAATTTTTATGTATGATATATATATATATATATATATATATATATACTTTGTAGGTTGAAAGTTTTACATAACATGTACATTATGTGTATGCATTGGTGAATCTGATAGTGTTGCTTTCTTTTGATTGGATGAGACGGCTGAGCAGTTTTCATAATCATTGAAGCAAACTTCATCAGCCTGATCTGCATTAAATAGTTTTTTCGTATTTTAATGTATGAAATTAAAATATGATAAGTAGTTCATTTCACTGATTGATCCATCTTCTTGTAAGAAACAGTCAACTGAGTATAAACCTTACTATCTCATTATCAGTGGGCTCATTTAAATCAATCAAAGTTATATGTTCATAAAAGACTTATTGAATGACTTTCCTTGTGATCAATGTATAGTAAGACCCATTTCCTATGTTTTATTTAATACACATTGTAAGTGTAATGATAAAATCTTCCACATTGTTCAAACTTTATCTTCATTTTTTTCCAATTGTAATCATTGTAAGAGAAATTAAAATCATTAACATTTTAGAACCGTTACTATGTAAATTATAATTCTTGTTTCAATTTCGATACTTTACAACTACACATGTCAGTCAATGAAATATTTAAATAATATGAAAATCACTACTTCATTTGGGTATTTTAGGGATTATAAATAAACTAGTCTGCTGGTAATAATTGTAAACGTATATATTGTTCTAAAGCAATAAAACTGAACGCTTTCAGAGGTATTTAAGATATCGACTGATATCAGTTGCGTTAAATTTTTTTCTGACTAGTTTCTGTGTGACAAGCCAATCAGTGAAGAAAATTTTCAAGTGTTTTTGTTAAATTAACTAAATACTACCGAGGTTGAGAACTTGTAGTTGAAAAGATGGGATATTTTATCACCGAACATTTTAAAACTTCTTATTCATTTTGAGCCTGAGGAAAGCTAGTTTTCTGCAGAGAACATTTTACTAAGCTCAGCAGCATGACTTTGCAGCCCTGTCTTAACTAATTTACTTTTTGATAAAAGTGCTTCAAAGAAAGAACTTCACAGGATGATTTATCGATCGGTTTAGGATGACTAAATCGGGTCTCGTTGAATACTGAGTCAATAGGCAATTATTGGTTCATGTACACATTTTTTCTCCATGGGAATGTTGGTGATTGTTCAGATCTTGGATTTGACTTGTAAGCACAAAAATTCGATGGACATTCCACATTTGATTTTCATGCCACCAACGTCCTTTCCATTACTTTCCATTTGAATTATTACCATTCAATTACACATTTAAGTAATGAGGTGTATTTTAAATGGAAATAATAAAAATCTGAACAGCTGAGTTTTCACTGTACAAGCATAGATATGAACTTGAATTTTATAACCTGTATAGATATTTTCAGAATTATGTAACTTTAGTCACTGAATTTTTTTAAATTCAGACTGATTTCGGTTTCGCCAAACGAATCGGATACGGCAATAAAACATGGACATTTTGTGGAACTCCAGAGTATGTAGCGCCTGAAGTGATTCTAAATAAAGGACATGATTTCACTGTTGATTTTTGGGCACTTGGTATTTTAATGTTCGAATTACTAACTGGAACGTAAGTCATAAAAGCAATTTGTTATTTCAGTTGATACTTTTTGCTGTATAGAGTTGAATTTACAATTAATTTTCTTGTTAAGTGCAAGTTTATTTGATATTTCGACCACAAAATTATGTATAATCTATCAGAGAATATAAACTCAAATTACTGTCACATAAATCATTTCAAAAGGATTAATTTTACCCTAATTAAAATTAATAAATCTTACTGAAAACCAAAATCGAACAGTGTATATCGTTAAAATATTTAAAACTTACTGCATTAGACTATTTAGTGGTTATTGACCAGAAACAGAGTTCATAAATATAAATGAACATCCAATCTTTCTAAATACAAGCTTGTCAAAACATAAACACTTAGACACCAACCAGTTAAAGTACCAGGACACTATTCTGCAAACAACTATATTTTTTATGATGATTATTCCGAAATAACCATCTTGCCCACTTTTTGTATAATAGATATACTTTCATGACAGACTATAGAAATTTCAATCAAATAAAGATTTTATTTGTAAGAATCTCAGTGATTGAACTCAAAATAAATTTTCTATTTCAGTTGGCACTCTGGTCCAAGTATTTTCCTTGAATATGACTGGACTAGAATGTTAAATGAAATGTTAGATTTATTTTAAGTTCAATCATTAAGATTTTTGCTAGCAAACATAAGTTTCGCCCTAATGTGCATACACTTGCGCGCGCGCTTGACTATTGTGAAGCTGCTACAAGTTCCGATTTCAAAGGGAGGATCTTAGAAATCAATAAATAGTATACAGAATTCTGTACCATTATGAGTCAGTTTGTAAAATTTGGAACTTTAACAGGAAAAGGGCTACAATGTATACAGAACTAGACACTTATAAAAATAAAAAGGCTACTTTACTATATAAACTACTTCAAAGTTTCCACCATTAATTAACAACTGATATCATTCCAAACATAATGCTGGTTAAAAATAAACATTTAATTTGCAAATTCTTCATATTTTATAATAATAATGTGACATTTAATCAATATTACTTTCCCATTAGTTATCTATTTCTGAAAGTTCCACTCAGAAAATGCCTAATCAAAAAAAAAAAACTGAACTACCAGTTTCTTTACGTTGATTCTCATATTTTAGGCCTCCATTCACTTCATCCGATCCAATGAAAACATACAATATTATACTGAAAGGTATTAATGCAATTGAATTTCCAAAATCTATCACAAGAAACGCACAGTGCCTTATTAAAAAATTATGCAGGTAAAATATTTTATAAAATTCAAAAGAGATGATTATAGTGGAATAATATGAATCAGTTTTTTATTTCATTGATTCGTTTTGCCTGATTATGTGAAATTAAAACAGTAGTAATTATTATTGTGTAACCAGTGTTCACAATTGATATTATGGTATTAACCATTAATAAAGAGTAAGTAATTGTGAGAGAATTATGACGGGTGAAAGCAGTTGAATATCTATCTGTAGGTTAATTAGTTTGAAAATTCTACAAGAAACAAATTTAAATAACATGTGTAGTTAAGTATTTAAAAAATGAAAGTCAGTTTCAAACGTTACAAAGCGCAAACTGTAATGGTAGACAGATAAAAAGTAAAGAATGAGTAAACTCTATGGAAAACTTGAGAATGATTAAAAGAGATTTCTGACTGAGAACAATATACTGCATAGTTAAATAGTGTAAGCTGAAGTCACCACCAGAGTAACGAAAAACTTACAACTGTCTCCTTCTAAATGCATAAATTTGTTTTCAGAATTTTATTTATACGGATTATTTTGAAACAACCTGAAAAATGCCACTGTCATGTTAACGACTATCAATCAGATGATAGGCAGTCATTCTAAACCGTTTTTACTAATCGCCAGTGGTATGATTGTAGTTTGCCGATTTATTGCGTGTTCTTAAGCTCGGTAATTAACTCGTCCAGACAATCGTTACTAAATAGCGTCGGCCGGTTTATAAATCAGAACGTAAACTCGTAGTGATGAATACGTTTATTTGGGACACACCACAAAGCGAAGCGGAAAAGCAGCGAATAAAACAAACGAAGCGAAGTGAATTGGAGAAGGCTGTTGAGCCAACTCCAAGAGGTAGAGCATGACTAAGAATATATAGTCAGACAAAAACAAGACAGACATGACAAGCGAAATAGGCATGCACACATATCAATAGATGCGACGAATGATTGACAAGGTCAAAAGCAAGCGATACAAATCATGTGAGTTCATGGGGATATTAAGAGATTAACATTAAAGCGAAAAGGATTAGTAAGCGCGTAGGCGTACAAGCTCATACAAACCACACAATAAAAAATACCAACGATACATATGGGTTGTTGCTATACAAATAGCTTGGTTACATAAATTAATCGAAAGGGCTTAACCAAATTGAATGTAAGCGAACTGGAATATATGTAGAGGTACTACATGATACAAAAGTATGTGCACTGGTTCTACAATCATAATTACAATTACTTCTAGAATGTGAGCAGTTAAAACAAATCTGTGAAGTAGGTGAATAGATAATTTCCCTCTACGATTACTGTCTTGACTTTATTAAAACGTATAATTATCAAAAAAAATGTCTTTAAAAAAATATATATTATGTTATTATAATTATCAAACATCAAAATTAAACTGCTTTTAAAGCAGAATGGTTTTCTTTTTTTTTCAAAGAATTTCCTAACTTAATTACGATTCATTATACGAAAAATTGGAAAGATTTGCTTTCATAATTTATTTATTCATTTTATCGATCCACTAACTGATTCTTAGTTTATTTAATATCAACAACAATTTGCAGTTTATTATATATAAGGAATAAAATGTAGGATAGAAGTGAATAATCATTAGTTATTAATGTAACTTTTATTGTAGCCATAATTATTTACTCATCAACTAATAAATAATTCATATTTGAATGTGAACGTATTCTTAAATACTTAGTCAGTTGACTAGTAATTCTATTTGGCTGAGATTTTAGAGTGCATCTTCTGAAGCGATTATCTTTCAGACTATCTTAGTCATTTCAATAATTTCGAAAGTTCACTGAACTGTTAGATTATCTGTATATATACATCATAACTAAATTGACAAAGTATCATTTTCCTTATTCTGGTAGAGATGCTCCAGCCCAACGACTTGGTGCTCGAAAATCAGGAATAATAGAAGTAAAAAATCATGCTTGGTTTGAAGGATTCGACTGGAACGGACTTAATGCCAAAACTATTCAGGTTCCTATTACACCGAAAGTAAGTGAATGATAGGTATGCTATATTTTTTTAAATATACTTTGAAGGAAAATGCCGAATTCGACATTATAGATAAAAGAGACAGACATTCAAGCAGGTTATCGCTTAGAAAATGAAGATGTGTTTTCTAGAATCGGATGAGAGGTGTTCCAATGTCAAAGCTTAGTCTTTCTTCGTTAGAACAATCTTAATTTGTTATGTTGGAGCTTGATACATGTATTCATAGGTCATTAAAGTAACAGATCTTAATTAACAATGAAAACGTTTCCAGCTCAATGATAAGTACTGAACCTATATTATTTTTGACAGACAGTTGAAATTTAAAGTTGCATTAAAATTTACAGAAAACACGTAAAACACCTCGACTTATCTGTTTACTTAATTATACCTGTTACTTTTCGTTGATTATAGGCTACAAACCATGATTCTCCGAACTATTCTGGGTTCTACTTTCCAGCTCTGTCCGATTGCTATTCATTATTTTATTGTTTACCTCCAGTTCCCCGTATAATGAGTTCCTTGGACTTCCGCTTTACCCTTTAGCTTGATAAATAGAAGTTAAGGCTTGCTTTGTAATACAATTTGATGGTTTATCAGTGATGTTGCCCAGATATGTAAAGGTTTAAACATGCTCCAAAGCTCTAAAAACAATTCAATCAAATACTTTTGTAGTATATAGTCGATATTTTTCTATAAACCTATATAATGCTAGTTCATTTCATTGTATTTGGTCTTTTTGTACGCTTTATAGATTTCCTCTCCGACAGACTTATCAAACTTTGACAGTTATTCAGAAGAAGAAGAATTACCTCCAGAAGATACAACCGGTTGGGATAAAGATTTTTAAAATTTACGCACAATAGTAAATAATTTGTTACTACAATAGAACAGCAGCAACAACTCAACTGTATGATAAAAAGTATTCTGTATGATGGAATACAAGAGTGATCTTCTCGAGCTTTTCAATCAATGGACTTTTAGCTTTCTTGTTTCTGCAAATACAATAGTATTGTAATAATTTCTCTGACAGAAATTCTACTTATTTTTTTTTGTTGCTTTTATGATGAATACGATCTTATTTCTAAAGAGAAGAAAAAAAAAGGAGAAAAAGATCTATTTCCTTTCATTCTATTTTGTATTTGATTTCATATTCAGTCAGTGACTGTAAGAGAACAACTCAATTACGTATAATTTCTATTAACGAAAATTCGTGAAACATTTTTTTTGTTCATGTTGTATTACTTTTTTTTATACATATATATGTATGTTTATATCACTGTTGAAAACAACAAAAATCGAATTGTTATTTTTTTTTGATGATGATTATAAATTAACAATCAACAAAGAGAGAAAATGATAAATGTGGGACACGTTGAAAAGGAAGTAGTGATCCATAAAAAAAAAACAAACGTCTATCATAAGAAAACTGGATGAACATTGGCAATGGCAGACCCGTGGAATTGCAACTAAGTAACTTAAAGGTAGAAAAATATTTTGTCGAATAAATAATTCATAAAGAAATCGAAATTACGTAATATTGATGATATCCATGGATATAATAAGACTGACATTCAATCGAATGACTGACTAGATAGTGGTACCTTGACCAAAATAAAACCATGAATTTAGGAATTAAACCAAGGCCAAAAATTTTATTGATCAATCATATCAATCAACCAAATAATCTTTCGCGTTAAATTAGGTACTTTCACACAATATATATATATATATATATATATATATATATATATATATATATATATATATATATATATTGTTAACTTTATATGTAGTCTAGAAAGATTGTTAAAAAATTGTACACTTCCTCAGGGAAGTGTATAGAATCATAACTTTTCATTCACAAAAATGATGACCTAGAAATAGTTTAAAATACGAGGATGAATGGTTTATACTTTTTAGGCGCTTATAAATCTAGAACTCGTGCTTTCAGCAATAACTGGAGAGATGCCTCTGAAGAGAATCTGTGTCGAACAGTATCTCAAATACAGACATCAGCAACAAACTAGCATAATAAATCAGGAAGTCAGCTACAACGTGGGACTTATATCAGTTCAAGTTGCCATACCACAATAACACGGAGACACAATTGTCAGTTCAAATTTCATAGTAGCAGAGGTAGCAGAAGTATGAGCGGTAATGGAGAAGATCAGGGTTCGAAGATGTTATTCAACAAGTATAATTCATTGAGATGAATTTCGAATTGGAAAGATAGAGATGATGAGGAATTCGGAAGATTACAATTTGAGAAAACACAATGAAAGGATGCATCTTCACCATTGCAAACGATTTTCAGCTATGTCTCTCAAGGTCTCTAACGATTGATTATTATCATCTCGCGGACCTCAACCACGTAGTCTACACTTACAAACACGGCTCAGTCCACTTGTCACTGGCTTTATAAATTTGTGCCATATCTTGGTCTAGTGGCCTCTAGCTTTGTTCCAGCCTACCACTACACCACGAAACATAGCTCGTCGAGGTAGTCGGTGGTTAGGCATACATAACACTTATCCCAACCACCTCAATAATAAATCATTCCCGAAGAGCATGTCTGGTAGGAAAAAATAGAAGACAATAATGTAATACAAAACATAACAAATCTACAAAACTTATATTTTTTGTAAGTAAATGGAAGTTAACAATGCATTTTGAGGCAAAAGATAAACAATATGTTTAATTATGTCATACAGGTGGATCTATGATCATTCTGGAATTTAAGTGGGCATGAACCCAATCAGGATGTGCAGCTTCAATATCTTCTACTATACGATTGACAGCTGTACACAAGCTTTGAATATGTATACTCCAAGATGAAACACCAGGATCTTTGTCTGAAATAGATAAAAGTATTAATAAAATGATATATTAAAAAAACATACGTTCGACAATTCGGAATGAACTTATTACCAAACTGACACATGTATGTAAATGATAGATTCAATTAGAAATTAGTATTATAAGCTATTAGCCGGTGCGATAGAATTGTTTCTACTTCACAGATGTATTCATGCTGTTATATAATGCAAATAATTTCACCTATCCCATGTGTCTCAGTGAAGCTTATTCCTTGACTTTGTATCATGGAAGGTGGTTACGGGATAATTACGCTACTATAACTTTTCATTTAATAGGAGTTTGATAGTTAAAGTGTACAGGATGTGGCCGTGCTTACCACTAAGCTATTTTTCAACTTTGAAAAAGATGGTTCCGAAAATATCTGAACACGCTAAATTTTTTTATAAAAAAAGAATTGCTTTCCATAAATGTTTCCCTTGGTCTTTAGAGTGCGGGTGACGATAGCAACCTTCATAATACGGATTAAATAGGAAGCATATATATATATATATATATATATATATATATATATATATATATATATATATATATATAATTGACTTTATTCTTCTGGTCTTCCTTACCTTATTTTGATAAAATTCTTATCAACTACTCACTCTGTCATTTTGGTTAGTGATTTAAGTCAATAAAAAACTAGTTCCGGTCACTTGAGACCATAAAGGATAATGAAAATCGGAAAAACTGTCAAATAAAATAAGACAAATAACAAGTGGAAGAGATAGAAGACATCAAATAAGTTATTTTTGAGCTAACACATCTATGCGTGAAGATATGTTACTGAGTTATATCATTTCAACAATCTATAAAGAAGTGGTATATATTTAAGTTACAGGTTTACTTAAACATCTATTCCGCGGACCTTCAAAGGTTAGTAGCGCTATCATATTCAAGAGTTGATAACATCAATAAATACAAACAATTAAAAATGCAATTTGGTTACTCAGGAAACTATAAAATATATACACGAGAAAGATTTTTTATCAGCATAAAACACAGACGAAACAGCTCTCAGCATAAACAGAATGACATTTACTACGAAAGATACATAAGAGGATTTGAAAAAAATAAACCCAATATTGAACATCCACACGTCAAAAATTTCAAGATTCTTAATCGGATTATTTTGAAATTTCCAAATTAACAACGTAGGAGAATGACAAATGACAACATAAAAGAGACGAATTTCAGAAAGCAGTAAAATTGTCTTTCTCGACAGTAGCTGCTACCCTGACGTGGTGGTCAAGCTTGCCTATCGTGATGACACAACCAAGTTGTGTTGGCTAGAACATATGTTCCTTTAGGTCCGACCATGCTAGACAGGTCGACTGGACACTGAAAGCAGCTACTATTAGGGGGGGAATTCGTACTGCTGACTGTAGATGAGTGTGACAGCAGTAAGGTGTTTCCCTCCGATAATCAGCATCTGCAGCGACGCTACCTTCTCGCAAGGAAGGAAGGGGTTAGAAAAGATCAACTCTAAAAATGTCAGTCTCTGGTGGGAAGGCCACTTGAAGAGCGGAGCTAACATTTTAAAAACTCATAAAAAGAACGTGTATGGCAGGCCTCAAGCAGATGTCCGTTGGGCTCTGCGGTCACGCTCCCAGGTCGCTAAGATCAACAGTACTTTGATTTCCTGCTAAGGTTCCGCCAAAAATACCTTTCCATGGTGTGGGCAGCCAGGAAGTGACATTCACCATCATACTCATAGCAGCACAAGAGATCAAGTTGGTCACAATCAAATCCTTCCTAAAACTTCTAATAACACTCGCATCTCCACGACTAACCCTTCTCACGTTCCTTTATCACCTCACGCCGCCGATGCAAACTATTCGAGTACGCCAAACTTGATTCCTGGTCTCCTGAAACAACGCTCTTAATGTCCGGAATTTGAGCAAAACAGGCTTCTTTAGCAAGAACTATAGAATCTCGTGCCGTCATTTATTTGATGACACCTAGTCAAGATGAAGAACCGTTGCGATTTACGCATCATGTATCTGAAAGGCCCGCTGCTGCTTCACGTAGCCTCACTGGTGTACGTAAAGCATTGTGGTTAAGAAGCGAAACTAACTTTCTTAGACTATATCCCAGAAGATAGTCGCTTATGCGCTATCCGACTGAACGGGATAGTAAGGACTCGAAAAGACAGAAACACTTGCCATGGCTTCTTAATTGTCTACGCCTATGCTCCCACTGATTGCAGGTCAAATGAGGTAAAAGATCAATTTCACAAAAAGCTTTTCCACCTCCTCCAGAAGTTAAGAGCGGTGTTGTAATAATAGTGGCGGATGAATTGGATGCTGAGGTACGCAGATTAAGCAAAATGAAAGACACATGGATGGAGTATATGGTGCTGCTGCAGAAAGAAATGATAACGGTTACTATCTGCTATAGCTATGCTCATATAACGGCCAATTTTTAGAAAATACCAAGTTCAAACAAAGGAACAACATATTTTGAAAAGGTGATCCCCGAAATCGACCCAACTAGACCACATTGTCTTCAACCGCTAGTGGAGAGGCTTGATATAAGATTGCCACTCATTCTGAAGCACATGTTACCTGTACTTGCTGTGTACCTGTCTGTCTTATTAGACGTTGGAAAGACAGCAAGGAAGGCACTTAGAGTTCTACTTAACAACAAAAAGCCAAGAACATATTTTGGGAAAAACTAGAAACACAGTTGGGCAGGGATGTAAATGAAGGTAGTTTCGAATATTATCCGAAAAGCTGCGAAAACAGTAGTGATATCTGCTAATGAGGTTAACTATAAGGTTGGGGAAAAGCAGTGGATTTTAGTAGCATCTACTAATCTGATGGATGCTCGAAAAATTAACCTGTCTGGAGAAGCGGAGTCAGTTTAGGCACAGGCTGATAAAAAGCCTACGCAATGATCGCGAACAGCGGTGAGTAGCGAAAGCAAGAGAGATGGAAAAAGCAGTGGCAAGAGGTAACAGTAGATAACTATACAGATTTATCAAGGAAACCGGTATTAGAAATTTGACTGTTAGTGAGACTGTCTCGGAGAAAGATGGGACGATTATTCATACTCTACTCAGGAGACCAGATCGATTGGCAGAACGCTTTTGGGATCAGTTCAACTGGTCTTCAGTCAAACTTCGGTTATCCACGACGTCCAGTCAACTTG